AGTGTAAATTCATCTGGCCAATCCAGATATTTTTTAAGTCAAGTAGTAAGTAGTGAAAAAGAGGTGAGGGAGACGAAGGATGAGTATTACAGTGGGTATAAGTCGGACGCTTCATTTGGAGAAATAGAATATACCCATATCTCTAATTCAGACCTAGTTATTTTCCTTAAAGAAAATGGAATTGACTTGGAACACAATCGTTTCTTAATTTTGCAGGGTGAAATTGAAAGTATTGCGATGATGAATCCTATGGAGTTACTAAACTATATAGAAGACTGTATTGGAACAGCTTCCTATCAAAAAAGTATTGAAAAGCTGAGTGACGAGCGTAACCTGGAAATTACTCGACTAGAAGAACTTTCTGATCAATTGAAATTCCAGGAAAATGAGTATTCTTTTAAAAGAGCCAAAAAAGAAGAGAAAATTAAAATCATAAAAGATAGACAAACCAATCTAAGATTAAAGAATAGAATTACTAAACTTAAACAGTTATATAGCACAAAATATAGAAGAGAGATAGAAATAGAGAGACAAAAGAAAATGGAGAAAATGAACGAATTACTTAAAGACCAATCTTTAAATGCAAGAAAATTGGAAGAACTATCCAGTAATTCCCATGGATTGTCTGAAAGGAGGTACAAAGAGCTTGAAACCATGTTTCTTAATGAAAAGTCTAATATTCAAAAGTTAGAAAGAGAAAATAAATTCAATCTATTGACAAAAACAAGGTTAGAAAAGGAAATCAAATCTGCACACAATGAAATAAGGGATTATAAACTAAAGGTAGAAGATTATGAGAAGGAAAAGATTGCTTTGGATGCAGAACAGACAGCATTAGGCAAACTGGTATATGAAACTAATATTCAAATTGATAAGATCCAGAAAAGTATTGAAGAAAAAAGTAGGTTAGATCCTAGGTATCGGGAATACGAAGAGAAAAAGAAGAATTTGGAGAGTGAGTTGGCTGTGGTCTTCGAGAAGATGAATATTTATTCTAAGAAGATTTCAGAACTGGAATATTATAATATTAGAAAGAAAGAAATTGAATCATATTCTGATGTAGAGCCAAAGCAAATTAATGAATTAGAAAATGAAATCTCTACTATTGAAAAGGATCTGGTCAAGACGAACGAAGAAATATACAATAGAAAACGACATGCAGAGGAATTTAAAAATGTAGAATACCAATATAAGAGGGAAGCAGAAGTTATTAAAAAAATTAAGCATGTCAATGGATATTGTGGTCCACTGAAAAGTCTAGGTATTATTAAAAAGGGCTATGAAGTGGCAGTAGAGGCTGCTACAAGTTCTATGAACTCCATAGTTGTGGAAACTACTTTGGCGGCAGAAGAATCTATCTCAATTCTTAACAGCAACAAATTAGCCAGAACAACATTTATAATAATTGAAAAATTAAATGTAATGTCACCTGAAAATAATGATAAACAATTGCTTAGAAATGTGATAAAATGTGAATTGAAATACCAGCAATGCTTTCAATATGCACTTGGTGATACATTGGTGGTTGAGGATCTGGAAACTGCTAGATCTTTGGCATTTTCTAGGGTTAGGAGACGAGTTGTAACTATAGATGGTAAATTATTTGAAAAATCTGGAGTGATGACAGGTGGAAAAGTATCCAAAAAATTGAAAAGTATAGATGAATTGGAAAATATATACAGAAATATGAAAAATCTTTTGAATAAAAGGAAGATAGAATTATCAAATATCAAAAATCAAGCATTCCTTAAAGATGAAGTGAAAGAGTTGGTTAGAAAGAATATTCAATGCCTAAAAGAATGTTTGTCTTTGATACCAAAAAGTACACAAGATATTGAAAATAATGGTGCAGGAAGACATATTCTAAAATTGAATTCTGAACAGGATATTGTAGAGGACCAATTTACTATTATTGCTTCTCTAAAACAAATAATCAGCAATTGTGAGGATAATATTGACAGAATTAAATCACAAATTAAGAAATATGAAACCTATGAAGATGCTGGGATGATGGAAATGAAGAATAAGTTGTTGATGGAGTTTGACAAGCTGAATGCTGCTGAGAAACGAATTCAGGAAATTAAGATTAAATTAAATTCCAAAGTTCAAAGAGTAGATGTGAATATTGAAGTATTGGAGCATGAGATTGAGAATTGTAAGATTATTGATATTGATTACGAAAAGTTGAGAAGATTTGAAGTAGAGTATAAGAAGATGTACGAAGAATATCAAGTAAAGCAAGAGACTATATTAAAATTAAGAAATGGGATAGGAAAGTATTATCATGAAGAGGCAAGGATAAAGGAAGAGTTGGAAGAACTATCCGATGAGATTACAGAATGTAATAAAGTCTCCCAAGAATGCATGGACATGAGCACTGAAATTAAGAATGAAATGAAGATTATTACGAGTTTATTAATCAAAGAGGTCGAAAATGAAGAGATTTCTTCTGAAAATAGAGGGGATAAGCCAAAAAGAAGTAATAAGCACAAACTTAAGAGTGTGAAATCATACGAGAAGTCAAATGAAGAATCGAAAAATGACAATATTTCTAGTGAGATGTCCCTATCTGAAAATGAAGAATCAAATTACTTAGAAAATTTAAAAAATAAAATTGAAAAATTAGTGAAAAAGTTCAGAAAAAACGAGAAAAATCAAGAGAGAGACTCATTGGATGATATTCAAATGTATAGAATCATTTTTATGGAATTTGAAGAGGCTAAAGGTACATATGAAAAAATGAAGTCAAAGAAATCATTTTTAGAAGGTAAAATCATAGAACTGAACAACAGTATTGAAAAACTGATTAATGAAAGGCTGGAAAAGTTTATGGAAGGATTCAAACAAATCAACGGGTATATCAAAAGCATATTTAACATCCTTACTTTTGGAGGAAATGCAGAATTGGATTTAGTGGATTTTTTGGATCCGTTTTCGGAAGGAATTAAACTGAGTATAATGCCACCAAAAAAGGCCTGGAAAAACATTTCAAATCTCTCTGGAGGTGAAAAGACCTTGAGTAGTCTCAGTCTCATATTTGCACTTCACCGATATAGGCCAAGCTCATTTTATATAATGGATGAAATAGATGCAGCATTAGATTATAAAAATGTATCAATTATTTCTCAATATCTAAAGCAAATCGATGCCCAGTTTATTATTATTAGTTTGCGAAATGACATGTTTGAAATGGCCGGAACCCTTCTGGGTGTATATAAACTAAACGAGATATCAAAGTTTATTATAGTGAATTTGGAGAATTTAAAACTTTAAAAGATATGCTGTGACAAGCTCAGGTACTACAGTTTTGTGTTTGTAGTGCAGAAATTGATTGTATTAAGAATATATTGTATATATTTAGTTGGTTACTTGGATAATTATGAGACGATATCAGAAAATATTTAATCAACACAGGATTCAATTAACTCGATTGATTTATGTTCACTAATTAAATTCAACTCTTAGAACATGATATATTCATTCAAAATCTAGACGTATCATATCATACATTATATAGCAATTGATTGGGATATAATTTTTCAATCCCATAACAATATCATCAAATTCTAAATTCATACATTCAACTAATAGCATAAAAATAAAAAAACAGGACATTGTTAGCAGAAAATGGAACTCACCTCCATTTTTTATCGTGCCGTTGTTAAGCCAGCACAGAATAAATATCCAAGCAAATAAAATCGCAAGCATCCAGCATAAACCTATGCAAATCAGGAATGTCTTTGGCTCCTTCAATCCCAATGAATCAATATAAGCAAGCGTAGCTGACATTTTGAGGGCTATCAAAATTTAACTAAATATTGATTACACTTTCCAAAGCATTTAATTTATAAAAATTTTCAAAAATAAGCATTAATAGTAGTAAATAAAACAATTATTATAAACTTCAATCATCAAAGATAAAATAGTGAAGCCAGTTACTAAATGTAAAATGAGATCATCCTACTCTTCCACACTACTAGATATATTAATAAACAGGCACGTATTATTCATTGAGAATAGCTGTAATGTAGTATATTTATAAATTACTAAAAAAGTCAAAATCTGATTTAGAAGATATCAGAGCTTTACAATGATTCTTGTTAGATAAAATACTAATCGCTTTTTAAGTAAAATTTTTTGTAAAATTTTTGTTCCCCAAATGTTGAAAGCCATCTCGCAAAAGAAATTGGAAATGTATGAGAAAATTAAAAACCTATTCCTTTCTCACGACAACTACATGATAATGAGCCTTCACAAGGTTGAAGCAACTCAATTCAAGAATATTAAGGATGCATTTCCCAAAAATACAGTGTTTTTATTTGCTAAAAACAAGCTCATTAAGAAGGTACTACATGAACTCGATGAAACTAAATACACTAAATTGATTGAGTCTATTCAAGGCAATATTATAGTGTGCTTTTTCGATGATGCAGATCCCAAGGAGATATTTAGTGTGTGTAATAAGTTCCAGAGAAGTGCTCATGCCAGATACGGAGATATTGCTACCCACGATGTGGTAGTTCCTGCAGGACCAACAGGATTGGATCCATTGAAGATTAATTTTTTCCAAGCTGCTCATATGAATACCAAAATTGTCAAGGGTAAAATAGAAATCGCAACAGAACATAAACTTGTCTCACAAGGCGATGCTGTTGGTATTTCAGAGGCTAACTTACTTACAATGCTGAATATTATGCCTTTTACCTACGGGTTGAATATTCTCAAGATTTTTGAAGGTGAAGAAGTTTATGATAAATCGATTCTCGCGATTGATGAATCTCAGATTTTGGATTTGATCAAGTCATCCATTGCAAGTATTGCAGCCATATCCCTAGGCACCGATACAATTACCGAAGCATCACTACCATACAATATTTCAAATGCATTCGCAGATGTTCAGAAAGTTGCCCTGGGATTAGATTTCGCTATAAAAGAAATGGCAAGCATTTAAATAAAATTCTATTTTAGAGATTAAGAAGTATTTTCCAATTTAAAGAATTTTATTTGCCGATGATAGCCCAATAGAAGGCTTTGTTTTAAAAGAAAAACATTTATAATATATGAATCATGTGTCTATCAAATTCAACACAATCAGCTTTTATGCCTCTGAAATTCATCAATCCATATATTTTTGTAATATAAGATTCATTTCACTACTAATAAAATTTAGCCTATTACTTCTCTCTTTCTACCTCTTAACCTAACACTTTCCAATCTATCCAATACTTCTTGGGAACCAACAGAACTGTAACCTTCATAAAATGGAATGATAAACTTCTCAGAATGAGCACATTTTACTGCCCTTTCAAATACATACAAATCCACAGATTTATCTTCTGTTTTTGCAGAGATGAAGCTCAGTCCAAAATCAATGATAACAATTCTGTCACACTTATCAATAAGAAAATTCAATGTAGTCAAATCACCGTGGATTATATTTTCATTGTGAATTCTCCCTACAATCACTCCTAAATCATGCATGATCTGGGGATAATTTGATTCGTTCAGTGCTTCCTTCAGGGTTATGCCCTCTATCCTTTCCATAAAAATACTATTACCTTCAGTCTTGAAAAATTTAGGGGTGTTTATTTTCAGCAGATTCAGTTTCTTAAGAACTTTTGTCTCTTTCTTTATTCTCGTGGCAATAATTTTTTTGTCAATTTCTTGAATCCGATAGTTTTTACTGATACGTTTTTTAATAATCAAATCTCCATCTTCGTAGATTTCAGCCTCAGCACCCCTAAAAAGAAGTTTCATTTTGACGGTGAAAAATGCACCAAGATTTTTTAGAGTGAAATATCCTGAAAAGTCAAATTACCAATACGAATGTTTAAGGATGCTGATACAAGCAATAGAGGACACTTTTCAAGGCTGTTCATTACAAATAGTTAATGGCGTTTGTTATAAATATTGTTTATTATAAATTATCAGGGATGGAAAGTTGATGGGGATTCTTAATTAAAATTGTTAAAAAAATTTTGGAATCCTCGAACACTTAAAGTCTCTGATAATTTGACAGAATGGTTCTCAAGCTCCTTGTCAATTATAACCTCACCGCTAGGAATAAAAAAGACCTCATTTTTTGAATATAAAACATCATCCCAATTCACATCTTTGAACCATGGGTGCGATTTGATATTCACCACTGCATTCTCACCACTTCCAATTCTTGATTCCGTATTTTTAACTAAAAGTTGCTTTATAAAATCTTCCGCTTCCTTAGACAACTCGACTCTTATTTCTGGGTCGTGTTTTGCAATATTCTTAGCCAATTCTTTTGTAGTTGCTCCATAAAACGGAGGAGTTCTGTGAAACATTTCATAAATAACAACTCCTAGCGACCAAAAATCAACATTTCTGGTATATCCTTTTAAAGTAAACACTTCTGGAGCAATAGTATCTGGTGTACCACAATATGTGTATGTTATGGAAGATGGTAGCATACTATCCTTTGATAATCCAAAGTCACACAATTTTAGATGCCCATCCGATCCGATCAATATATTGTCTAGTTTAAGATCCCTAAAGGCGATATTGTTTTTATGAAGAACTGATATTGCTACAACCAATTCTGATGCATATCCTCTAATCTGATCTTCGGATAAGACATTATTCTTAACATAGTTGAGTAAATCTCCTCCACAGCAATATTCCAGGCCAAAATACACATTATACTCATCCTGAAAGCAGTAGATCATCTTTGATAATAAATTACAACTCAATCCTGTGATTATCTCCAATATTCTTCTTTCCGCTTCTAAGAAGCACATATCGTACGAATTGATCATCTTATCTTTTTTGAGTACTTTTAAGGCTACAGTTATCCCATCCTCAATATGCTTAGCCAACACTACCTTGCCAAATGTTCCACTTCCCAGAACGGCTTCTAGAGAAAAATCTCTGATTTTGACAATTTTTCTCTTTTGGATCTTATTAGGAGATTTGGGGCAGAATTCGGCCATTTTTTTTCTTAGTTCCATGGAAAGACCACAAGAATTAAACACCATTGGTTCACAATCCTTATGGTAGTTATTAAAACAAACCTTACAGGAACACATGAAGGTCCCTAAGCCAATCCTCTCCCCACAGTGTTCACAATACCTTATTCCCCTACTTGTAGAGTACTGCATATTATGCTCAATATTATAGTTTTTTTTTATCCGTTCTGATGTATGGTTGATTACTTTTTTACATTTGAATAAAATATAGTTTGAACAATTTCCATGAACTCTTACATTGCAGTTTGAGCATTTAAATGCATTTCCAAAGATGGGACACATTTTTGTGCAGACATTACAATAGACAGGTGTTCCACAGTAGCATCTTTCAAAAAGATGTCCTTCTTTTGAGAGGCATTTGATCTTTGCCTCATTTCTTCTTAATTGAATGGCGTTTTTGAATGAGGTTGAAAATTCAATATAGTTAAAATCCCCAAAGTCCACTACGATGTTGTTTTGAGCCGGATTTATAAAGAAATCACAGGGGAAAATTACCATGCCCAATAAAGTCTTGGTGTTCTCTCCAATTAGGTATATCTCTGTAAGTAAGCTATTCTCCAGGATAAGAGTAACTTCAGTATCGGAATTCTCTATTTCTATGGTATTCTGGCATTTTCTATCCACATAGAACGCAATGTTTTTAATGACATTACATGGATCAAACTCCATGCTATTGATACGCAATGTTAGCAAGCCTGTTGTAAAATCTAAGGTGGTTTTATAGCACGAAAATTCCTCCCTGAGCCTTTTTCGAATTAAAAATATTTTACTAGTTTGAAATGCAACTATAGGTTCAATGGCATCGTTTATAACAGAATCATCCATTTTTAATCCTTTATATCCTTCTAGAATTTCCATTTCCCTCTTTAGCACCTCGTTGAGAGAGCTCTTTGTGATGACAGAAGTAGTAGTACAGTAATTTTCAGATTTTTTAGATTCAATTTTCTTTATTTTATATTCTATAGATTTATAAACCATTCCTTTTGATTGAGGCAGTTGTGATTTAAGAGATTTCAGTAAAAAATCCTTCTTCCGATCGTTCATAACACTTTCAAACCCATTCTTTAAATATTTCTATTAAGTTATTTTGAAACAAAAACTAAAATACATGTTATATCAAGTGTTTTAAAATACGTCAATGGAGAAGGATTGTATGTTTAAGACACAGTATTATAAAGATTAGCCCATCTGTATTTTCAAGAACATTTATTAGTATGCATGTCCATCTGTTACAACCATTTGCTGATCTCTTCGAATGCGTCTATACTTGCTATTTCCTTCAATTTCACCCTTTCATTCTTATAGTATTCATTTTTCATATACTTATACTCCATCAATTTATCAAACCCATTGTTTACAATTCCCCCTCTCTTAATGCAACAGTTGTAAGCATCTTCTGTTTCCTTTACCAAATCTTCAATCTCCATAACACTTTCATGTAGCATTTCATAGTTTGTTTTGTATTTTAGTAGTTGCTTATAACCTTTCTCAATAAAACTCTGATATTCTAATTCTTCTACAGCCTTGTTCAATTCAGCCTCTTTTTCCTTTAAAACCGAATCTCTTACTTCTAAAAGTAAACTGTAATTATTAAAACTAGATGATGGATTGTTTTGTAGGGTATTTTGGGGCATATTGACTTCAGTATGCTTCTTCATAATCTGTTTGTCACTAATAATTTTGTCAGTTACTTTTCTCTCCAATTTGAAGTTTTTGGGAAATTTCAGGATATTTCTTAATACAAAATTATTAAATATAAATATATTTCTTCTAAATCTTTCTTCCAACTGAGCCTTTATTTTGGATGAGGTACCTTTTGGAATAGATTCTGTTAAACAGTTTTCTAATTCCTTCTGTAATTCTGTAGTAAAAGAAATTGGTAAAAAGCCGAAATACTCAATTTCATCAGCATTGTTCATTTAAAGAAGGGATTCTAATATATTACTATTGTAAAATGGTGATACTTACAGAATAATGCCAATAAAACTATGGGCAACTATGGAATAATTTACTGTACTATTAATAACAATGTGACCATATCTACATCACTATAGAATAACGATATTATGTACATCTTTGTCGAAATATTTCAATTGTGCTTTATTGTAAATTGTTTAATGTTCCACACACCTCACATTGAGTCATGAATGGCTCATTTATAAATGTACAGGCCGAACAGCTCCACTTCTTCTGAATATTTTCTTCACAATCATTTACGAACTTCTGGAAATCTGATTGAATTGTAACTTTATTGAAGTCAGACTGGCTTCGATTTATAACTGCCTTAAATATATCATCTATAAATGAACGATCACAGTCAGTAGCCTTAGTTATGCTATTACATCCGTCAACATCTTCGGCTGTTTTAGTATTATACCCATTGGTGTCATCACGCTTATAATATTTCTTTAATAGTATTAAAACATTCAAACTTCTAAACTTCTCAAATGTATATTCTCCATCGAAATATCCCGATATCTTTTTAATAAATGATTTGTCATTTTTAATACGACAAACCTTCAGTTTATCACCAGTATCTGTGAATATAGAGTTACTCTTATATCCTATCTCACATTTCACATAGAAATAATAAAGAGGCACCTCTTTGGTCTCTTTGGGAACTACTATATCATACTCATTTTTATACATGTATTTTATATCCCTCTTGGTGGCAAAATACTGTGGATTACTTGTCACTTGTAAGGCATTGGCAGACATTAATCCAATAAATTGCTTAGTAAGCATTGCATTCTCTAAAATGATATTAGAGGACTTAACCAAAGTATCCTTGCCATTATTCACTATACTATCTTTGCTCTCTTTGGCACTATCAGCCAAAGTAGCTTCGCTATCATCACTTTTAGGGCCATCCTCATCCTCTCCATCATTACTTTCCACCACAACTGCTATATTCAGCATCTCCTCCATATCCATATTATCCTTGCCTATCTTCCTCCACAATTTATAACTAAACTCTAACTCATTCGCTGATAAAAAATCATAACTAAATAGCTTTTTTTCTTTAAGAAACAGCTTAGTATAAATCATCCCCACTATCGATATTTCTGAAAAGTAAAATTGTGAAACCTGGTCAATTCTAAATCCATCACAATATCTGTCACAATCAATATTCCAAATTCCGGATACAATAATTTTAGCTGGCAAAGTTTTGCTACTACTCCCCATATCCTTGCTAATTGTATTTTTGTTTATAGACTTTTCATCAAAGTTTTCACTCATATACTCTTTTCTTCCAAGTAGTAATCCAATGCTTTGTTTGTTAGTCTCTTTCCATCTCTCTATAAAATTCTCTACACATTCACTATTATCAAACTCAACGTAATCTACTTTTCTATAGATCTGTGGAATTAATGAAATTACTTTATCCATACATTTACCACATGTTACATTTTTGGGATGATCTGCACAAACCTTCAAAATATAATCATATTCTGGTTCTATTTCAGACTGAGATTCTAGCAGCAACTTATATTGATTATAAGAGAGATATTTGGAAAGATATGAAAATGAGCCCTTCGTTTCTGGTTGTTTTTCGTTGTCATATGCCTTATCAAATGGATCCAATGTGGCACATTTGGAGCAAATCCCATCTTTAGGATGATTACACGTTTTTTCTGGCCTGTATACTGTCCTCTCTTTCTCTTTGCATTCTAAATATACCTCCATTTTATCTTTAATTTTCGATAAATCAAGTAGGCTACTGCTGTCAATATCCTCATACAGCGTATATTCTTCTATCTGAAATCTCTCTTTGATTTTGTCGGCAATTTCATCAATAGAATCAAAAACAATTGCTTTCCTACCATTTGGAGCATTTACAAACACTTTCATTTACAAAAGGGTATTCTGAAAATAATAAATAAAATTAATTCGCAAGAATTGGTAGATATTTCACACAGTATCCTTGCTTTATAGTATATTACTGCAAAGCATGACTATCATCTAATGACTTTGAATACCTCATAAATTTCCAAAATGAGAAATGTCAATCTGCATTTGTTAGTCCATGCTACACTTCAGCTGGATATTATACTTTTCTTTTTGTATTAATCATTTTTATTGAATTGTCCAAATATGAATAATTACCCAAAGTTAACATCAAGATAGTAAATTATTTTTTTGAGATGAATCAACAGAACTGTTTCATTGAAAAGAATGACCATTTAAAGTCTACAAAATGAAAAAGACAATCATATAAATCTGTTTATTCAATGCAATCAATAAATATCACAATCTTACACTTCATTTTACACTACCAATAATTCTGAGAATATCAAGGCTATGATTTATTCATTATATATTTTAGAAAAGTATTCTGAATAATCAAATTTGTGGAAATACTGTATATTTGAAAATTATCCTAGATTATTTTCCAATCATTCTATCCAGTGTCTTTATAGCAGCATCACATTCTGTTAGAATATCGATGTCTTCTTTATTGGCTACTTGTTGATTATCATTAGAGTATACAGAGTGAGACTCCATTTGTTTCACCAATTGTGCAATTTTATTCGATATAGGATATCTAACTGCTCTGAGTTTCTCTAACGGATCCTGTAAATCAGTTAAGTTGTTGTTGTGAGCAGCTTTCGATGTTAACTCTTCAATTGATTGATTCACTAACTTCAGGTCATCTACATCTGTACACATATGACCATTATTGATCAAAATATTTGCAGGAATATCCAATTTTTCCTTTTTTTGTACATAGTTCTCATTTGTAGAAATTGTGACCAAATCAACTAATACTCCTAGAGATTTGTTTCCATCATTTGTAGCATCTTGGATATATTTTGAATCGTTTGATTTATTGGAACCTGAGAACTCTTCGGAGGAAACTATCTCCTTTTCATAAAATTCATCAAAATCTTTGTCTAACTGCTCCATGATCTCTTTATATCTTCTATCAACATCATAACATGCACTTGAATACTGTAAAAATGATTGATTGGCTATGAGGGTACTGGCTTGTTCCCGGCCAAGCTTTGACGAATCTGATAAGATCTCCTGTTTCTGTAAATTAGAATCTATTATTTCGTTACTAGCAGTACTACACTCATTTTTCATATGTTCAATTACCGCATCATTATTACTCAAATGTATATTACAATCCCTGTTTATAATTTCCTTATTCAAGTGATTGTTGGTATCATTGACAAATTGTATATCATATTCGATGCTTTTACGGAAATACCTTGTATCATCTACAATATTACTTGGTTCACAAATAAGCCTTTCTTCCCCCTTTTTATTTCCATCTGTCTTCCTATTACAAACCTCGATCAAATTACTTTTATCTTTAGCCTTGTTTATATCTAATACATTCCAAACTTGTGTGTTACCAACCTTACTAGAATCTTCAATACCATTGATTGTGGCTTCTACGCACTCAGTGTCATTCTCATTTGTAAAATACTCGTAGACTTGATTCTTACTTTCATCAAACCTCACTATTGTTTCTCTACTCATGGGGAGGGAATTTTAAAAATTAATGAAATTATTGGTAAAATACAGACTTGGAATAGTAAGAGTTAGGACAGCTGCAATTATTTTAAAATGAAGTTTTTTGACAAGCTATTCTAAAAGATTGAAGATGGCTATGAAAAGTCGAGCAATGATGCTGTTTGATAAATAAAAATTTCATATAGAATAGTTTAAGGATACGAAATAGAGAAAGAAAAAATTAAGAGATTGTTTTTAAATTTTTCTAGAAATTTTCAGGAAATTTTTTCTAGAATTTATTTTTTTAAAAAAACTTTTCTTTTTCAAAACATGGCCAATGATAGTAAAGAATATTACAAAGCTTTTGGAATTCCAGCTGGTTCGGATATCAAATTGGTAAAGAAAACATATAAAGCAAAGCAGGGGGAGTTGCATCCAAATGGAGCAACACGTAGAAAAATAAGAAGCTCGCCAGAATATCAAAAGTTATCACAAGAAGAGAAAGATGCAAAAGAGAAGCAATTCGATGAGGAAATTGCTAAGATTAATCTTGCATATTCTGTAATTGGTGACGAGGAGAAGAAGAAACAGTACGATGAGGGTACAGGCGAATACGGTGCATTCAACGGCTTTTCAGGTGGTTTTGGAGGATTTGAAGATTTATTCAGCAGCTTTACTGGGGGGCAATCTAGACAGAGAACTCCAAAGACTGAAGACACGGTCACAAATCTGAAGATAACTCTGAAAGAATCATATACAGGGAAGGTTACTAAGTTCAAGATAAATTCATTGAAGCCATGTAAGCCGTGCTCCGGGAAGGGATATTCCAAGGTTACGAAATGTTCAACCTGTGGAGGTAGAGGAAGAGTGATTATCCAGAGAAACTTGGGGCTTATGGTAACTAGGCAGGAGGTCCCATGTGATAGATGCCGTGAGGAGGGAGAAATTGGAGAGGGACCACCATGTACTGTGTGTAAAGGACAAAAGGTAGTCAAAGAACCTTTTGTTATTGAAGTAAATATTTATCCGGGAATAAAAAGTGGCACTGCTTTGAAATTTACAGGAAAGGGCAGTCAAAGCCCAGGATGCACATCTGGAGATGTTATTTTCAAGGTAAATGTACTAGAAGATCCCAAGTTTCGAAGAAATGGCGACAATCTGATTGGGTCAGTTGATGTTGATTTACTTACGGCACTTTCAGGTGGGGTAGCTTATTTTGATCACTTAGATGGTCGAAAATTGGCTATAAATATCCAACCAATAACTAATTTTAAAGATTGTATAAAATTATCAGCGGAAGGTTTTAAGAATGGCGATAAAAAAGGTGATTTGTTCATTGAGTTGAATGTGAAGATTAACAAGAATCTAAACAGAAGTAGTCTAAGTTCTGTGCTATCGCCACTGATTAATAAGCCAGAAGGATCGTATCAAAGTATTAATGGAGCATTTTCACGAATACCCGAAGCTAGTAAAGGCTATTCTCAAGAGGATTCTGATGACGATTATGCACATAGTGCTCATTCTTTTTTCAGAGGCTTTGGAGGAGGATTTTAAATAAAATTATCTATACAAATCGACTTGAATTATTTATTGTTGTATGTATCGAAGAATATCTCCAAAGATATAGTTTATATATGTGTAATTAACTCTCACTCTACTTTTGATCCATTAATTTTGTACTCCATTATTTTGAAATGATTGCCAAATAGTGCATTCCAGTTTATATAAATTCTAGTTACCAAGTGTTTGAATGCTTAGCCATGTATTTGGCTGTATTTTACGATTTCCTGATAAACATTTTTTCACCCATTCATGAAAGATTCCTCGGAAATGCTCATCGAATCTGAATATAAGCTATGGAAGAAGAACATTCCATATTTGTATGATCTGGTTTATACTAATGTTCTTTCTTGGCCAACCCCAAGTATTCAATGGTTTCCAGATGTAGAAAGAATTAGCAATACAGCAGAAAGTATTCAGAGGCTTCTTTTAACAACTTTTACGGCTGGAGTGGAACAAGAAAACTTAATAATTGCAAAAATAGGCTTTCCAGATCTAGTAGACGAGGATGTTCTGAATAATGTCAATATTACATTTTCACAATCACAATCTATTCCTGTAGAGGTTGAAATAAATAAAGCGAGATACTGTCCCCAGGCCACAAATCTAATAGCCTGTAAAACAGAAGGTTCTAATATCTTAATATATGACTATACAAACCATGGATCGCACGGATCTACAAATCCAGCCGATTCTATTCTTGAGGGACATGATGATGGTGGATTTGCAATTGAGTGGAATCCAAACAGATTTGGAGAGATACTCTCAGGAGGTAGGGATAAGATGGTAAATATATTTGATATAAATTCTGGTTTGGTAAGAAGCTTTAACAATATTCATTCCGAGATTGTAAATGATGTATCTTATAGCGCATTCAATCCACATATATTTGCCAGTGTATCGGATGATAAAAGATTATGTATTACAGATTGTCGAAGTGAAAATGATTTCATTTCATTACAGAATGCCCACTGCTCCACTATCGAAGCTGTAGATTTTTCTCCATTAAAGACCGAGCTGCTAGCCACATCTTCTAGCGACTGCTCAGTAAAAATTTGGGACAAAAGATACATTCAAAAACCCCTTCTTACTCTTCGTGGCCACAGAAATGATGTGCTAACGGTTAAGTGGTCTCCCCATTACGAATCGATCCTTGCATCATCCTCGAAAGATCGTCGAGTCATACTATGGGATCTCAATAGAAGTGATATCCAATGTGGGGATGAATCTCCAGAGATACTCTTTATACATGGGGGCCATACCAGCACAGTGGAAGATTTTGATTGGAATACAGCTGAACCGATGGAAATATGCAGTGTATCTTCAGATAATGTGTTAAATGTATGGAAAGTACCTGTTGAGGAGTATATTTAAGAATAAATCCATACAACTATTACATCAATGGAATCATTAATTTTTACAAGTGTGATATTTGCTTAAAATTTCACATTGCACTGCTGTGGTATCATATTTCAGTAACTACAATATTGGTCTACTGACACATTTTCTGCTGTTCCATTGTTGTGTTATGACTACAACTACCAAAGTCATAACAGATCACCGATCAGAAAAGACTAACCTAATATGGAATATTTATTCCGGAATTAAATATAAAGTAAATTCCAGATAAAATAAATAGTACTGAAAATTTGAGGTATGCCCGATGGCTTTTCAATTTTGATTCTAACAAGTACTATTATTCACTTATTTCTTGTTTATGATTTTATTCTGATATCCAAGCTTACAAAAAGTCTGATCAGTAGTTATAAGCTCAATGAGATTCTAGAATCATTTGATTTGGAGTCCATATCGATTTGTTTATTTTCTTTTATTTATTTAGAAAACTAACGGTATTTAATTACTGGCTTACCCTTAAACAATGTCGAATAAGCGTCTTTTTCAGAGCTTCTTTGCAGAGTTCCTAGCTTCTTTCATTTTTGGTTTTGCTGTATATTCTGCTATAATAAATACAAAGGTTCCAGGGTTTTTCATTTCAAGTGTGAGTGTAGGACTGACTGTAGGGTTGTCTGCAGTGGCCATAATATATACCTTTTGTGATCATACTATCAGTCATTTTAATCCAGCAATCACATTAGCCAGTATGATTACACTCAAACTAGATATAATCAATGGGCTGGGTTATATTATCTGCCAGTTAGCTGGTTTCCTTGCAGCAGCAGGAGCTGTACTCTGTTGTTTCCCTGGCACAAACTATACATTATTGGGTTATATTAGACCCAATAAGGTAACAGAGTTTGTTTCGAACTGGAATTTGTTTGCTACGGAATTTTTACTTACTTTCATTTTGGTGTTTGTTGCTTTTGAAGTCGGAGTGAATGCTGTTAGAAATCCAGATTGTTCACTATATGGCGATGAGATCCAGATAGATAGATCTATATTCGCACCACTTGTTATCGGATTCACATTGGGTTTTTTGGCATTTTTAGCATCTACGACGTCTGGAGGAGCATTTAATCCTGGAATAGTATTTGCACCTACTGTATTGCACGGGGTTTGGACGAATTTTTGGATTTACATGGCTGCAGAATTTGCAGGAGGATTGGCAGGAGCACTGGTTCAAGTATTCATATTATTCAAATAGACGAATAAATTTCGAATTTTTCTTGTATTTTACAGAATTTCAAAGCTTTTGAATATTATAACATACTATTTGTAGAAAAGTTTCGTAGGATTTTGTATGGTTTAATAAAAATTTAGTTACTCCTTAGGATAAATTAAATCAACAGTATATATTCAAGAATGTCTGATAGAGCATATATGAAGATTTTCACTTAATTTTAATATGTTCCATTATACTAACTATTTTTGATAGATTTCAGTGTATTTTATTTATTCAGTACCAGAGGCATTACTATAAAATTCAAGCCTAAATAAACCCCCATAATCATATGTGCATAAAGTTTACCATAAAGATATGTCTTGTTTATTTTATCCAGATTTACTATCATTTTTACTAATAAAACCAACAAATTTGATACTAGAAATATTTCCATCATTTTTTTACTACAAAAATGTAGCAATGTTGTGTAGCTGAGTGATTCAGGAAAGATAGAGACGATGAGTACGCTGAAAAAGAAGCAGAAGTATAAGGAAAATCCACAAAATGCAACAAACTGAATATTTGAAGCACGTCTACTGGGAAGTGCAAAGTTCAACTGCCTTACAATATCAATACTCAAATGATTGTTAGTAAAGCCAGTGTTGTTTGTTTCTATGCTGTCTAAGTTGATGGTAGTGGACTTATATATTATATACCATATCATACTGTATATTAAAGGTATGGATAACTTCCTGTTGGATTTCCTGAATATTCGACCAAAATCTACAGTAATTAAGAAAAATCCTAATGATGGAATTATAGAGTAAAGACCTTCTTTATTCTGCATAATAAATCCAATCCTGTTTTCATTGAGTAGGATAGGATTTAGAAATTTGGATAGAAAACCAGTAAGTATCAGAAGACAGGCACCAATAACTGAATATTTATAGTTGGTGATAGAGCTGGATATCCTCTTATTATCATGTCTGCCATTATTTCTTTTGATATTCTTAGAAACACCAACAATTCGATTTCTATCAAAATATGAATCTGTAAGCTCTATTATATTATATGACAAGTGCAGCAAGCACAGAACGAAATAGAAATTCATGTGATAGCCATACTCGTGTGGATTAACATACAAATTACATGCTTTTATTACAAACAGCCTAATAAGTCCTAAAATAAATAAAATCATAACATTTTTTGTAAAAATATGAAATAATACATTAGTGAGGCTAATATTCAACAGTCTGGTTGGTTTTGAAATATAGGCCGCATTCAATATAAATGAATATATGCCCATATCCATGTATCCTAACCCAAACGAATCAGATTTCCCAAGTCGAGATATCCATATATTTTCAAAATCACACATTAGAATACAGATTGTACATATTGTGCTCATATGAAACCTACATATATTGAAGTGATTCCTATAGAAATCTGTAGGATAATTCATAAAGCTTCTTTGAGTAGATTCTATCTTAACTGATCGACCCTTATGACGATGTACAATACTATGACGAATGTCTTTATTCAAATTGTTCTGAACTGCATTGACATACTTTTTAGAGATTCCTTTGCTATCTAATGCTATTTCCTGAGTATTCAGTTTGATTTTAATATTTCTTTTTATTAAATATCTTTTTAAAAATAAAAGTGGAATAAGGGAAATTATTAGGCAGTTATAAATACTTGGATGGAGAAAAGCAAGATATTCTGGAATTATTATGCAAAGGAATTGTATAAGATAGTTGTTGCTGGTGCATACCAGAGGGAGTATGAGTGGTATTAAGAGTAACTTCATAATTTCTGATTCGATATGTGAAAGAAACATTGAATTTATAAGGGCAAAAAACCTGCCTGAAGTAATCAGAAATCTATACAAAACCATATAATATGGCTGAAGAACAGTTCTATCCGATAATTTATTCCAAAAAAGCAATAAAAATCATAATATGAAACTGATCAGTGATACCACTTAACCAACACCAATAAATACATTCATAAACAACCAAAGGATATGTCGTTTATATACAAGGCTCTTAATATACACTAGAGGAAAATTTGATATTCCTTTGATCAATAAAAATCAAAAAGTAAGATTATTAGGTATTTAAAACACTATAACAATATCTCATATTTAAGAGAGTTTAAAGAAATCTCTTGGAAATGTTTCTTTTATTGAGTAAAATCTATAAAAGTCAACATAAAAATTATCAAAAATAATTCGTAATCTTTGATGGTGAAACTTTATTAATATAGTTAAGCATATATAACAGTCCTATCACTACTTGCTTCAACTGTTGATTGAGTTACCAATGCCTTAAATAACACAATAAGACTTAAAAGGAGTGAAATACTTAGCACGAATGGAAAAAGTGAAACACTCATAGATAAACAACTAATAATCATACATATTGTGGATATAATATTAATTGTGACTAAATTGCGCAACATATTGACTCCCTGAGATTTTGGGACTATCATGTACAGAATAATAGCTAGTATTATCCAAACATGACAAAAGATAAAAAGCCCTAAAAACAATAAACCAGGATTATAATTATCCTGAGAGAGGTCTGACTTTTTGATAACTACTACTTGTTGTTGGGCTTTATGTGAATAATTCCCATTAACTTGATTAGGTGTACAGGTATTACTGTGACAATTTTCACCCACTTCCTTACGTAAAATTGAACCATCTTCATTCTTGTGGCATAATCTATTCATGTCACATTCCACAGAAGATACTGTCCTTTCTGATTTTTCATAGTTGCAAAACACCAATGCAGTTAAGAATAGTGGAACTTTTAGCATTTTAACCCCAATAAAGTACTGAATATTATATATATTTCTCAAGTGAAGCCAGTTACTAAATGTAAAATGAGATCATCCTACTCTTCCACACTACTAGATATATTAATAAACAGGCACGTATTATTCATTGAGAATAGCTGTAATGTAGTATATTTATAAATTACTAAA